ACATGTTCTCCACAAGCCGGCGGAAAGGCTTTGCTTCTTGCAACCACTCAGAAACCAAGGGTCTGGAGCATCTTGTAGAACCAGAAAGTAGGAACTGCTGGATGGAATGGAAGAAAGAAGGAAGGAGAGAGGGAAGAAGGAGAGAGGCAAAGGGACACAGCTGACAACTGAAAGAGTTAGCTAGACTTGGAACAATTTGAGCAATAGCCCAAAGGATAAAATAAGTTGTCCATGAGTCCATACAGTGTATGAATAAATGACTGAATAAATAAATCTAAGAAAAAAACTATAAAACTCTTATGCAGAAAAATTCAAACAATTTAGGCAGATACTTTGCCCTCAAGGAAAAGTCCAATGCCCCTCTCCTCAAGTGCGGGCTGCACGTAGGGACTTCATTCCAAAGAGGGTAAGCAGCTTTACAGTGGTGAAAGCTGACACTGTCTCAGCCAGGTGATCAAGGTCAATGTCAACAGGGATAAGTCATGTTGACAGTGTGTACCCTCAACAGGATGTAAAGGAAATGGCACTTTACCTCTGTGGTCTTCCCCGCCCCCCAACCCAATCTAACCATGAATAAAACATCCAACTACTGAAGCACTACCTACAAAATACCTCACCAGACCTCCTCAAAACTGCCAAGGTCGCCAGAAACAAGTAACTCTGAGACACCATTATAATCAAGAGGAACCCAAGGAGATGTGGCAAATAAATGTAATGTGCTCATCCTGGGTAAGATCCTGACAGAGAAAAAGGACAAGAGGAAAAAACTAGTGAAATCCAAATAAAGTATCAGATTTGTTATTTAAAGAAAAGAAAATAAGGTCATTGAGCAGCTGCCATCTTTTAGGCTATTGGTCACTTCTACTGAAAGATCAGGAAGTCTGAAGAAGCAGTATCCATAATTAAATGCTCCACTCCCTAGTCACAGGGCCCATTCAACCATGGCAGACACAAGGACATCACCACATGCCTAGAAAGGAGGAAACATAGAGTACTGACAAACAGTATCAAAGATGGCCACAGCGACTACCAGGAGTCCTCTTGAAGGGAAATCTTGGTTCTGCAGATTCCTTGGAATGAACCCGCCAGGCATCAAGACCTTCCTGCTGCACTGTTTCCACACAGAAATCATTTACTTCTACCGCATCTAATTTCCCTTACTTCTCCAAGTGTCTCCTAGGGGTTATATATCAAAACCCAGGTCTTTATTTTTTTCCTAATCATTTTTTTCCCCCAATGATTCTTTTGATTTGATCTCAGGCCTCATGTATCATCACAACTAAGTACTCTATTAAAGAACTCTTTGGTGGTTACCCAAAAGGCACTAATAATTTTAGATTCCTCACTTGTTTTGATAAAATAAAAGCAACAGCCCCTGCTAGACTAAAGGAATAGCTCAGAGCTCTTGCCTAGCATGTGCAAGGCCCTCAGTTCAATCCCCAAAACCGGAAGGGAAAAAAAAGAAAAACAACCAAAAAAAGACAAAAGGTCTGTTTCGCGCACAACTCTGCTCAACCAATTTACAAACCAAGTCTTTCAAAAATGTATCTAGTCTGAGCAAAAATCAACATTTCAGATCTTAATTTTAATTTTTATCTCTTTGTAGAAATAGAATCATTTTATGTTTCATCTTCTCCATGTCCGCCCCCCCACCAAAAAAAAATTCCTTTAACTACTAGATCTTGCCTGTTTGCATTTTTCTCTACAACTGCAGCACAACTTTAATTTTCACTTTGCATCTCCACATCTGGAAAGTTATAAGCATACAACCCTCAATGTTGATTCTGGTTATCTCCTCCAAAAGAAAATAATAGTTGACTTTGACATTGAGATTGCTTGCAAACTCCTCAAATATTTCTTTCAATAAATAAGTATTATTAATTTTCCTTATAGGCTATTGGAAAATGACAGGTCTTGCTTGTACGTAGGGGTTTTGCAGTGATAGAAGTTGGGAGTGAGTGTGTATGCGTTCATTTTCCTTTATTCCTAATGCAGCAGTTTTTATGACAGAGAAAAATGACACTTCAGGTGCTAAAACTAACTCTCATGCAAGAAAGAAGTTATTGATGGCCTAATTTGAGCTAAGTAGTGTATGTATTTTGCACAGCTCAGAATTAAGAGCATCACAGGTTAAATCTTGTGAACATTGCCTCAAAATATAATCACACTAAGATCAATCAGTGTTTAACCTACCAAGTGTATTTTTCTTAAATTATCTCTTTTCACACCAAACTTAAGAAATTCTCGTGTTTCCTCCTGCTTGAAACAATCCACGTTTAATTTCAACAAATTTGCTAAGATGGTTTAGGATTTCTAGCCTTGCCAAAATGATGTATTCTATTTTTTTGGAGTGAGAATATGTAACTCTGTGATTTACAATACAGACCTCATGAGGACAAAGTGACTGAGGAGCTACTGAGATTTATAACTCATTTGTGTACGTATCATGGACTTTGGCCTGGGCTCCACCATCATCCACCCTTTTCCTAAATTGGTGTTCCCAATCCCTTTATTAGAGATAATAAAGTCATCTCATGGCCAAGAGCAGACAGCGATTTCCATGGTTCAACTGGTACGAAGCAGCCCTCTCTGGATTGGGAATATGTCTTAATTATATACTTGTTCTTGAACAAAACTACTGCTTCCATTTCATTTCTTCCCCCCTCCACTTACCCAAATGATTTTCATTCTTACCTCACTCATCAACTTGTCAATTGAGGAACAGGAGCTATTTCCTCTCTTTGTTTGGGATTCTGGCTGCAACCCAGGCACCATTTTCCAAGTAATTAATGAGCCCTGCAATGTCCTGGCTTGTGACCACCAGCCTCTTCCTTTGTTATATTACATCTTGCCTGGAGAAGAACTGAATGCAAGATCAGCCAGTAGGCTGTCACTTAATGAAGAGCAAACTGCTATTTTTAGGTAAAAAATAACCCCAATTTTTTTTTCTTTTTTTACTTTTGCCACACAGCAAAGTGGGTGTTGTAGTTGAATGCTAGGCTCAAGAGAAAGCCCCAGAAGCAGCAGAATCTACCAGTCATAGATTTCTAATGGACAGTCAAGAGCTGAAATGGAGCACACTATCTGGAAGGGTGGAAATTCAACCCTCAGTCCTACTCCCACCCCCAGGCTGTTCAGCAAGGAAAGAAAACACCAAGGAACTCAGTTTTTGATGAAGAGCTCAAAAGGGGAGCATCGGCTTTTTTTCCCCCTTCCTTATGCCTTAGGAGTAAAGGAACAAAATACTAAGATCTTCACTATGATTACTAAAGCATTCAGAAAATCTACTTTTAGTGTTATCCAGGTGTTTAACATTGTTCTAGGTATACGGGCAGAGTACTCAATAAATAGAATCCTTACTTTCAAAATATAGTCTAGTAGAAAGCGTGAGTGAGTGAGTAAATGAATGAATGAATGAATGAGTAACAGATGGTAATGACTGCTGTAGGTAATGACTGCTGTAGCATGGAAGGGACTGGAAGGTCAGATGGGAGATTTGTTGTGGATTTTGGAGTCATGGGTTGGTAAAAAAAAATTACTGAGAAAAGGATTTAAGAGAAATCAAAGATTAGGACACCATTTAGAAGGAAAGAAAGTGGGGTGGGGGACACAGCTAGGCAAAGGAGCATAGTCCTATTGTTGTGCTGATATGGAGCATTTATAGAGTTTACTTGGAATTTCACTGATTGGTTTTTGTTTTTTTTTTCATGACCCTTGTTGACTGGTGGTTTTTTGGGTTTCCTGGGATCATGGTTTGAATTTTGCCAGTGCAGGAACATCTGGCCAAGTTGGTCCCTTCTTCATTTAGCTTGGCTCTTTGGTACTTTGCTCCTGCTGTGCCTCTATAAGAGGGAGGTGTTTCCTCCTTAAGGTTTCTTTCCATGAGGTAGTCAGGGAAGGCCTCTCAGGGAGCAGGCGACAGGGTGTCTGGAGAAAATGAATCAAGGCAGATGAAAGAGCAGGTGCAAAGGCACTGCATTCATTACTCTAAAAAGCTTAACAATTTATGCACAATTGAGTCTCTATAAATAAATACTTTCTCTTTAAGTACTTTCTCTTTTAAGTCCCAAAACAAACTTTATAATTTTTCAAGAAAAATCATTGAAAATAGGTTAGGTTATCCTTTACCCTGTTAAGTCATCCTTTACCCTGTTAGATCTATGATGATTTTAATGTGTTCTGTCCTCTCAGGTCCTTTATTCACAGTTATTTAGTTACATCGAGCTACGTTCTGCACTCTACTTATTCTTTTACTTATTCAAATTAGTTTTTGTGAGACACTGTGCTAGCTACTGAGAATATTACGGTGACCAAAGTACAGAAGTCCTGGCTTCATGGTGCTTATAGTTTGATGAATGTGTCATTCAATGTATCACTATAATCTGAATTCAGCTACAGATTCATAGCTGGGGCTATGAGCGCTCAAAATAGGGCCTGGCAGCTTCTAGAGGGTGAAGAAAGGTTTTTTTAAGGAAGCCACATGGAGTTAAAAAAAGGAGAATATTCCAGGAAGTAGGAATGCACAAAGGTCCTGAGGTGGGAGGGTGTAAATTGGGTTTGCTGTATGAAAAGAAAGAGACGTGTGGATCCCAGAGAGTGAAGAGGAATAGCAACATCATTAAGTCTGGAGAAGGAAGCTGAGGTCAGATTGGACTGATCCTTGTAGCCAAAGTATGGTCTTGATCAAGGGAGTCACCATTTGAAAGGTTTTAGGCAGGAGAGAGACGTGATCAAATAATCATTTTAATATGATCTCACTGGCTGCAGAGTGGGAATGCATGATCTGCAAGAATGATGTTGGGGTCAGCCCATCGCAGGCAGGCATTCGAATGAAAGATATTCATTGCCAGGAGGAGGTCAGGGGCAGAAGAGACAGAAAACAGCAGAGGGAAATCAACAAACACTTAGAAAATAGATGAGCTGGGTGTGGCAACGATTCCAAACATGGGACATGATGGCCTTGTGGGTAAGTCCTACTTGATTTTTGACGTCACATTAATGCTCTCCGTTCATTTGCTGAAAAAAAAAAAGAAGAATGACAAGGCAGTCTAGCTCAGGCACCAACCACACAGCCCACACTATCTCTCTTGGCAGTTAAACTGGTTCTAAGCAGCATCTCAATCCCAGGTATGCAAGGCTTAAAGTGCCCGCAGAGCGGGCCTCAACTGAGAAGCCAGCACAGGCTCCATTAGACTCGGGATAAATGAGCTCCTGGTCCAAATGATTTCTTCTGTTTCAACTCCACTTAGTTGTGGCACTTAGCTGGTCACACCTACAAGGAAACAGCGAACTGGGTGACTCATTAGGATTTTCTTTTCAAGAGAGCAAAGCATTTAACAAAGATCTTTTTAAAAACACACAGAAACCACAGGAGCAGTGGCAGCAGCAGCAATTTGGCATTTCTGTTTGAAAGGGGAAGTTAGAAATCAGAGACTGATCTCACAAACAAAGAACTTTTATAATAGCCTGTCCTAGATAAGACAGTAATGAGAGGACAAAGAGGAAAGCCGTCCTCCTCCTAATACTAAGGAGACCTCCAAAGTGACTTCTCAAAAAGGAACAGGTGAAAAGCAGAATGTTAGTGTCTTCGCAGTGACTGTTCTTCCTCTTGGCTAGAAATAGCTGAGTCCAAATCACTCACAAGGCTCTGAGAAAGGAGGTATTTATAAATGCTATATGGATTCTTCTACCCTCTTCTAAGAATCCCCACAGAGTTTTGTTCACCCCACAATCACTGGCAGCAGTGCCATGGTAGTATCAGCAGTTTTTGTTTTTGATAATAAGTAAATTTATCATGAACTCAATTCGTGCCCTTGAGCATAGCTTACAAATAAAATCTTTCTATGTCTTCTATGCCTCATGGCTCTGCTTCTAACTAGAATACACTGCCCTGTGCCATGTATCAGTAGGAAGCCACATATGCGTTTTTAACTCTTTCTGTAGAAATTATGTTAAAATAATTTTATACCAAGGCAAAAATTACTATTTCATGGTATAAAAGGAAAAGCTATCAGAATGTTAAGGATAAAAAACAAGATTTCAAATGTATTTCATTTTTTGGGTTTTCCACCACCACCCTGGAGAAGCCTCTAGATCCCTGGAGATGGGCAGTTCCAGGCCAGCTTGTGCCTTGGGCACAGTCAGCACTGTGCCTAGAGCCCACAGCACTTCACAGCCAGATATGATGTCCTGTTAATTTTAAAATCAGAAGAAAACATTTAACTCTGAGGTTGAAAAGTTATTTAGTATATGTTGTTAATATATTCACTTAATAAAAAGCCATTGCCAAATCTAATTTTAATTAATCTTTTATGAAGAAGGGATCCACAAATGCTAAAATGTAAAGAACCACACCAGTCATAATATACCCCAGGTAATTCCTTTTTCCTGTTGTGCTGGAAAAACCTCAGAACACAGGTAATGGTGGTATTTCTTAAATATGGTGGTCCAAATACTACCGTTTGGTAAAATAAGGACAAACACTTTCATTTGAAAAAGAATGTACTATATTTTAAGGTGTAGTTGAAAATAATGTGCTTCCTATTCCTGGCAGCAGTAACTTCCTTTTTGAAAATATGAAGTAAATAAAATAATCTCATGAAAATACTTAAGGCTCTAGAAAGAACAACAACAACAAAAAAATCATCCAGCTAGTATGAATCTAACTGAAGTTTGAAAGTGGTAAGATGAGCTAAAATACCAAATTTTTTATAGATCATAAGCTACCTTCATCTCTCAAGAAAAACTATAAGATATTACCAGAATTTTCACTACTGATTTAATGGGAAAATTAAGAGTTTTGGGATAGGGATCTGATCGTTTAATTCTCTTTTGAATCATACATCATAATCGTTTTTAGAATTAGTGGTTCATACTGTTAACAGAGTAAGAAGAATTTGTTGGTTGGGACAAAGCACCATTTCTTCTTAGCCCACAAAACAATTCTGTAATAACTTCTGCATTGCATGGATAGTGGAAGATAATTGATAAAGATTTCCCACAAGAATAAGACATTGACCCAAAAATGAGATCACCAAGCTCAGTCCTACCAGCTGGGATAATTTTACAAAGGTCAGACAGCCAAGGGCATAAACTAATCAGCCTGGGGTCTGCAGGAGGCTGTCTCCTGACTCCCCACAGGCAGTCACACACTATATTGTCTACCCTGCTCTACACACATTTGACACACAGTCCCCAAACTGCCTGTCTGAGGTCCAGTTAAAACAGGATAATGGAAAGTCAGAATAATTTTCTGTCTTTCTATTTCTAATGTTCCTGTAATCATTCCATTTTAGTCATGTTCTGGATGTAGATAAGGAAATTCCATCCCCCATCCCATATTTGCCAGCAATCAATCAATAATTGCTTGCTTTAGTTCCCCATCGCATAAATTCATTCTTAAATTAAAGCAGCCAGTGATATCCAGAGTCCAGTCTCTTTTCTTTCTTGTGGGTCTTAGTAGTCACTAACTCAGAGCAGACTTGACTACTCCCAAAGCAAGAAGGCCTTATGTTGTTTTTAGAAGGCAATGAAGGGCTGGTGAAGTGGCTCAAGCAGTAAGTGCACCAACTAGCAAGCATGTAGGCCCTGAGTTCAAACCCCAGTGTCACCAAAAAGAAGGCAATAAAATCTTCCTGCAGAGCTGGAAGACAGGTTTTCCTTGCCCCCAAATTCTGCGTATTTCTTGTGAACACTTAGAAGAAATCCAAAACAAATAAGACATTGTCTTAGTCCATTTGTGCTACTATAACAAGACACCTGAGTCTGGGTAGTTTACAGATAGAAGAGCTTGATTTCTCAAAGCTCTGGAGGCATGGAAATCCAAGGTCAAGGTGCTGCTGGCTCAGGGTCTGCTGAGGGTGCACTCTAATCTCTTCAGATCTCTGAGGCCCATTCCTGGGAGTTAGTGCTGTTCAGACAACCTTGCCAGGCAGAAGGACAAAAGGAGCCTAGCTAATTCCCTCCAACCTCTTCTTATAAGGTTGTATCCATTCATGAGGATTCTGCCCTTGTGTTTTTAATCATCTCCTAGAGGCCCCGCTTCTTAATAGCACCACATTGGCCACTAAGGTCCAGCACAATTTTTTGGAGGGACATGAGCGAGCATTCAAACCACGGTAGACATAAAATGCATTACTGCAAATGTTTTTGAAGAGACAGAATAAAATTCTCAATTACTTCACTCACCTCTGTCAAACTAGCTTTGCCGTTGTCCTTGTCTAATATTTGCCCAAAGCACTGCAGCTAATAAGCAAAATTGATTTGAACTCGGGTCTGCTTGGACCCAAACTCATGCTCTTAGAGCCATACTAGAACAGTGCCTGAAACTAAGCTGCTAGCTAATACATTATGGGTCAAATCTGAATCTAGGTTAGGAGCCAGGTTGCTCAGGATTCTCAGGTATTTCTGGAGTCACCTTGCAAATAATCTCAACTCTTGAGAATAAGAGCTCCTTCAACAAACAAAAATGCCTTTTTCCAAAAATGAAGGATAGGAAGGTAAAACAGATCCTGGCTGGGAGTTGGTACCAGTGGGAAGGAGGAGGATATAAGGAAAGGGTGAAGGAGGGTGAATGGTGGAATATTATGTACTCATTATGGAAGTTGAATAATGAGACCTGTTGAAATATTCTAAGAAGGGGGAAGGAAGTATAAAGGAGAATGATGGAGGGGTGAATCTAACTAAGATATATTGTAAGTACTTTCCCATATTTCACGATGTACCCCCAGTATAACAATAATACACTAAAAAAGAGTTCTGTTAAGACATCTGAAGAGATTAGAGGACCATATCTGATAATGTCATATTTGAATATTTTCTCCTAATTCTACTCCTTTTTCGATTTCACTTACGGCAAAAATAATTGACCATTAAAATTAAATAAGCAGTAGGAAGTGAAACATTTCCATACATAAGGAGTAAAGTTGCTTTAAAGAGAAAGGAAGGTCCAAAGAAACTCCTGGATTCCAGGTAACAGTATACTACATACATAAAAGCTAGCTGACATTTTCTTATAGTACTTACTGTATACCTGAAACTTCTAAATGTATTTCATGTATTATCTCATTTAATTCTTCTGCGCTAAGAACTATTATTATTCCTGTTTTTCAGAGGGGAAAAAAAGGTACTCCCTGTATTCTAGACCAAGGGCTATTGTATTATCCTCTTAAGCACTCTCTCTCTCTCTCTGTATATATATATATATATATATATATATATATGTATATATATATATATATATTCTTAACCACTTTAAGAATATATATATTCTTAACCACTTTACTCTGCTTCTCTCATAACAATTATCTATCACTGACCTACTTGTCCTTCATATCCTTTATACACACTATCTCATTTACTATTCCCCACGACCACAGAAAGAATATATGGCTGGGCACCCATGGCCCATGCCTGTAATTCTGGCTACTCAGGGGATAGAGATCAGGAGGACTGTGGTTCAAAGCCAGCCTGGGCAAACAGTTTGCAAGACCCTATCTCAAAAAACCTACCTCAGAAAGGGGGCTGGTGGAGTGGCAGGTTTAGGCCCTGAGTTCAAGCACTAGTACCACACACACACCAAAAAAATGAATGGATATGCACACATGCAGATGCAGGAGTAGGTTGGTGCGTATGTGTGTGAACAGATGTCTTCTATCCCATTGCTGTAAGCACATCTGTCATATCTCTCAACACTTGAAAGAAAGCCATCTTAGATAATCTACCTGGTTAATCACATAAACAAGTGCTCAGACAACAATTGCAGTATGTATCTCCATATTTCCATTAGCTGTATTATATTGATTGGAGCTTATTTCCAAGAAGAACAAAATTCATTTATTAGCAAGTTTGTTTTTCATTTTAATATGAAATATAATAGCACCAGATAAAGCTCTGAAATATCTTGAAGGGCAGAGTTTAGGATGATCATTGAGTTTGTAAGAGTTGGGAGAAAATTTCTAATGTACAGTAGCCGCCAAATGCCTCAAACCTATCTGCTCTCGCCACTTAAATACTACAGGATTCCACATCACATGTCCTGGTTACCGCCAGAGCCAAAGGATTTGCCTCCTCCTTGTCACTTGTTCAAACATGTGATTTATCTTTGTGGGGTGTGATAAGCCAACCAACACTGGGCAGCCAGGCCTTGCTTTTCCCCTTCTCCGTTCCCAGGGAAACCAACTGTTCAAGTGGAAGATCAATGGTCCATTGCCAGCACTCCGCTCGTCCTGAACTCTGTGTCTATATCATCTCTATATCTCAGACAGGCATTTCACCAATTAAGCTTCTCTGGTTCTCAGGACCAGTGAGATGACCTAGTTTCACACTTCCCTAATGGGCATAACAGTCACCTGAGGAATCTTGTTTAAAAGCACATTTGATCCAGTTGGTTTGGGAGGGCCTGAGATTTGCATTTCTAACAGTCTCCCAAACACTGCTGGGACAGCAGGCCATGTCTGGGGTAGCAAGGGTCTAGCTCATAGATGAATGCAAAATTTTACCTTAAAGGAAAGTATGAGCTTGAATATTTGAAGGATTCATCCTGCATTCTAATCCAAGACGATCCATAAAGTTTTCCCCATCTGTGTGGCATTAAAAACTCTAGACCATTCTTAGAAACATCTATTCACTTTTTAAGCCTTTGGATAGTACAAGGCCACTTCATCCCAAGGAGGGAGAGAGACCATTTTTCCATAAATAATATTACGTTCACTTATCCAAAAAGAAGCAGCAAATGATTTCCAGTTCTCCAAAACAATGAATCCCTAACACGAATGCTCAGCAAAGCCTCACCAACTCAGGCTGCTCTGAATGCAAGCATTGGTACCACTGTGTAAATAAGAAACTATTTTATGGTATAATATAGTGAGGCAAGTACATGCAGAAAATGGATTTAAGGAACAAGTATAAATTCCTTAAAGGAAACACTTTAATGTTGAACAATGACTTGTGATTAGCATATCAGTAGGAATAAACAAATAGTAGTTTAAGATACCTGAGGGCACTTAAGGACAGAGGCTTTTCAACAAACTTCTTAAACTTCTGTTTATATTCTTAAAGTGCTTGGTAGTCTTCCTTCAAAGCTACTTTAAAAGGTCAAGTTCAGCCCAAGTCTCCTTTCTGAAAATTAATGAAGTTTTAATGTACTCAGAAATGCAGAAGTGGTGTCAAGGTTATCTGACTGACCCAAGCCAAAGAACTTTCTGGAATAGTAAGATATTTTGAGTGGGTTTCTACCTTTCAGTTACCTTTCCTCTTAGGTGGCATTCTTGTAAAGGACATTTATTTCAACATATGGGTAGCATTACCAGGTCATTTGTGAGCAGCAGAATAACCTTTTTGAAATGGTAAGAAAAGAGAAATAAAGCCCATAAATAATACTAATGGAAAAATGGCTTGCCAGTTGCTTTCTCTATCTTAAAGAGGATCCTAAAAACTAGAAACAGTAGTTCTCAGTTAAACCAGAAAAATTTTCATTAAAGGTTAGATCACTGAGCCCGAGTTGAGCTGGAAGCCTCACCATTCTTTCATCGAGCCAATGAATTACAGCTGTTAAGTCACTGGTGTCAAAGGGTTGTGGGTTCGAGTCCAGCTGTGTCCTTTATTGTCAGTATGACCTAGGGCAAGTCAAACTTCATCCAGAAAGCAGACATAATAAGTACCTACTTAATGTGGTACGGAGGCCAGTCTGGAGCATTTCATGTATGCTATAACACACATGGTACATACATGTTCACTTATTCGTGCTGACTGTATTGTTCCCAGATCAAGGCTAGTTAACCCTCGAGCTTTAAAGAGATACACTAATCACAACTTACAAGGGAAGAACCGCCATCAAGCGCATGTTAAATCTATGAAATGCCTAGCTACAGAGGTGGCTCTTTAACAAACTATTAAAAGAGTTCATCCTGGAAAGATAGTTAACATTCCTCCCCAAGGTGACCTTCCACTGGGCCATGCTTTGCCTGTCAGATCCTAGCCTTTGGGTCTTGCACCAGGATGCCCAGGGCTTCACACTGTGTTCAAAGGTTAACATTTTTCTTTCTCTTAGCAATACTGGGCAGTGATGTTTATAGTCCCAGAACTTTGTCAAATTTGATATTTGCAATTCCTTTCAATGATTATTTTGGAGAGTGATTTATTCATTTATTTGAGACAAGGTCTCACAATGTAGCTTAGGCTAGCTTCGAACTTAAGACGCCTGTGCCTTAGCCTCGAGTGCTAGGATTACAGACATGCAACATCACACCTGGCTTTGGAGAATTTTCTGTAACTATCTTCTACTCTCCAAACCCACCTTAAAAATGTGTTAGCACAAAGTGCCACTATTCTAGCAGAATCAGCTTTTAAGACCACAGTTATATTTACATTAGGATGAGACACTGCCACTAGGACGAGAACCGTCTTGAACTACTAGCACCATAGAGAAAAATTGAATCCTACTAAAGCCTGGAACTCAGCACAAACGCCAAATGGAGATATAGCAGATGATAGAGATTCAGAGATACACAAATATACTTACCCTTTCCCCTTCTTCTGTGTTGCTGGGAATGGAATCCAGGCTCTTGAACATGGTAGGCAAGCACACACCACTGAGTATGTCCCCAGCACTCCCCCAACTTTTAAAATGCATTTGACATTAGGCACTTCCATTGCTTCTACTCTAACCCAAAACAGAATCTTATTTATTGTGGCAATAAATACTGAAATTTGAGTACCCAGTCTGGTTCCTCATTGATAGCCTCCTGTGCTTTAATCGGGACCTTGGAGCACCAAAGGGGCAGCTTGTTAGCAGGACTAGGTGGGCAGAAGACTAACTGCCTAGGACTCCTGCTCTTTGTGTCTTCCCCCTTGGGCTCTCTGAAAAACAAGATCCTAAGTCCATACTCTCAGTCAGCAATGGGCACCATATCCCAGCTAACCTCTGAATTTGATTGTTAGAAATGCAAAGATCCTCCCGAGATACTGAGGCACAGAGTAAGAAGTATTCAACATTGATCACGTAGAGCACAGACTGCTGAGGGACAAATAACATGTGATGACTAGGGTACAAAGAGAAAGTCTATCAACACTTATCTTACTTTTAGAGGCTCACAAATACATGGGCGTGAATGACAGTTGTACCATGATGCATAGCACTGGACGAAATTTCAAGAGTCCATTTGACCACGGTGTTACTCATCAACTTAACCAGGTATTCATAAATCAATGCGCCCAGACTAGAAAACAATATTCAAACAAAGAGCTTTTTGTTTTGAAGGTTGCAGGTTGCAATTTGCTCTGGGTTTTTGTTGGCAAGCTTAGTGTGTGTGTGTGTGTGTGTGTGTGTGTATGTGTTCCTTCACCCCTTATCAACACTGGTTTCCTGGCCACGCCTTAATTCGTGACATAGTTACACAACTGTAGTTATTGGTCTTGTTCAAGCACGTCTCTTCTCGATCAACAGATAAACTTTGGCGGGAGGATCGTGACTCTGTGTGAAAAATCTCCTTTCCCATCTCCTCATCCTGCTGCTAACCTTGAACACTGGGGTTATTGAGAGGGTTTGGCACCCAGCACCCCTCCTTGGAGCACTCATGGGTAAGATTCACACAGGGAACGGGAGAGGGCTTTGTGGTAGGATTCTTCAGAGAATGATGCTTTGGAAAGTTTTGAAGTATCTCTCGAAGTACCTAAGTGGGTACAAAAAGGTAGAACACAATGTATGAAACATTTAGGTCATAAAACATTCCTTTTCTCCAGCTGAAATCATTAGAGTAGCTGGGGAAATTAGGAAAAGATGCCTAATTTAAAGCTCCTTTTAAGAGCATATATAATCAACTGTGCCTGCTCCCAAGCAAGAGGACATGCTGTCTTGTATTTTCATTAACTTTCACTGTTTTGACACATAACAAGAAAGAATAAGAGGCACCGCTGGTGTTCCTGGGTTGCTGGCACTACATATCTACAGGACATGGTTCTTGAAATGGAGGCAGATATGGAGAGTCTTCCTTTTTTTTTTTTTTTTTGCAATGCTGGGATTTGAACTACACCTTGAGCCACTCCACCAGCCCTTTTTTGTAATGGGTTTTTTTCAAGATAGGGTCTTGAGAACCATTTGCTCAGGCTGGCTTCTAACCACAATCCTCTTGATCTCTGCTTCCTGAGTAGCTAGGATTACAGGCATGAGCCACCAGCATCCAGCTATGGAGAATCTTTACACAAATATTCCTACATGGCAGGCATGACAAATTTTCCAATAAATAGTTTACATCCAGATACCGTAGATAGGTAATCCTCAAATACATTACTCAGAAACTCTTTCCTTCCAGCCTCCGCTTCATTATTCCTGTTCCCCCAACCCCAAACACAAAAACCTAAGGGAGGAAAAAAAAAAAAAAAGCAAAGAGTAAGCAACTTGCTACAACACCACACCAGGTTCTGGGTAACTGGCCTGATATCTGGTCAGAATAAAGAAAAAATACAAATTATGCACCTGGTAAATATTTGCATGGTCTCCAGAGCAGAAAGATTCATCCATTTGCTCACAAAAGCATAAACTGCAGCTGAGAGAATAAATCAATTCAATTCAACAAACATGTATCAAGCGCCAGTCTGATTGCAGTCTTTGTGGAAAAAAAAATCATGCACCTGTCTATTGGAGCTGATTTTTGAAGAAGTCTAGAATTATGCTTTGCCTTCCACTCTCTCCCAAAAACAAATTGTAAGAGACAACAAACTAACTTCCTCAAATGATCAGCACATAAGTATTTCATATGGCAAAATGTAACTAGCTGATGGCATGCTAGTTCCTTTTACAGGCAAGAATTTCCTTCTTATCTTTACTGTTTGTTGTATAAAAGCATAGAGTTTCCATTTTCTAAAAAAATCAATGATTGATTTGTCATCCATCATCCTTCAGTATTTTGTATATAAAGATTAGGAAAAAAAATTATATATTGAAACAAATTATAGTATCACTGCTCTATATCATTTTTTTAAGGGTCTCACTATGTAGCCCAGGCTGGCCTCAAACTCATGATCCTCCTGAGTGCTGGAATTACAGATATGTACCACCACATCTAGATGGCTACATCTAGATTTTAAACTTGTACATATCAGGGATCTACTTAAAATGAGTTCTAAATATGCAATGCAAGGGCAGAGCCAAACCAATTCTTGCTAAACAAGTTAAGGAGATTTTTACCTGAGTTTCCTCTTGGAACATTTCCAAGTGAAGCTAGAGAATCTAGACTACTTGACCAAGAATCAGGCTCTACCACTTACCTGGAAACCTACAGAAAGTCATTTCTGAGATCTCTGACCTGTGTCTTTATTATTAAAATAGGAATAATCACCGGGTGCAGTGGTTCATGCCCTTAATCCTAGCTACTGGAGGCTGATATTGAGAGGTTTGGGGTTCAAGGTCAGCCCAAGCAAAAAGTTTGAGAGACTCCATCTCAACCAATAGCTGGGTACAGTGGCATGCACCTGTCATCCTAGCTATGGTGGAAAGTGTAAAATGGGAAGATCATGAGTCAGGTCAGCCTCAGCCTTAAGTGAGCTCCTATCTCAAAACTAACCAATGCAAAAAGGGCTGGAGGTATAGCTCAAATGGTAGAGTCTTGCCCTAGCAAGAACAAACCCCTGAGTTCAAACCACAATACCACAAAAATAAATAGGAATAGTAATAAATCCTTTAACTTGTGGGGTTATTGCAAAGGTTAAATGAAATAACAAATATGAATCATTTCATGAAAACTGCTCTAAACATCGACTTTGATATTTGACTCTACAGTCCCAAAGACACAGCAGCAGGAAATCTGCTACCAAAAGTGTGTAACAGGGTCTTTAGAATTACTATGAGCTATAGCCCCTTATTTGTAGCCACTGGGGACAGTGTCAGAATTATATCCATGAGACCGGTTTTAGAAAGAATGTTTATCTTTATCCTATTCTCTTCCATTATACTAGATGATAGGACAGGTTTACTTATATTATCAGGTATTTAGCTGCTGTTGGCTACTAAATACTGTATTTAGTGTTAGTCTTCTTGATTAATATGCATAAATAGTTGGCATTAAACAAACACTATGCCTATCTCACTGAGATAAGGCATTCCAAACTCAATAAACATAAGACTATTATGCTTTTTGTTGACATTTTTATTCCCCTACTCCATCCTGGCACGAGAGGAACAGTTAGGTAACATCCATTACCTCAGGGAGCTCAGAGTATACAGTGGGAGACACCAGAGAGAGCACTGCAGAGCAGTGAGGTCAGTGAGGGCTGCCAAGAACAGGAAAGGCCATCACACTCCACTCAAGGAGCTACAGTCAGAGCCAAGTGTTAAACACATTGGGTCAAAGGCCAAAAGAAGGTAGAGGGGTGGGAAAGGACACAGCTGGAATAAGCAGACACTGTATACTACATGCACAAATGTACTACCACTGAAACACCCAGTGGGAGTCAGGATGGGCTAAAGAAGTCCTGTCATGACAGCATGGGACTAGAGGTATAGAACTGTGCTCCTTGAAGTGTCAGGACACTGCTCGGATGTGGGGGTCACTCTGTAGATGGATGGGGCCAGGGGAGTGTCAAGAGAGCATGTGTTGGCAAAGGGACGTCTGCATGAGGTACACCCAGCTATCTTCCATCCAGAGCATTCTGCTTTTATATGAAATATTGGGGCTTCCTGTGGAGAAAAATGATTTGCTACTAAAAAAGAAAATAGATGATATATTGAAAAGTAAAGGAGAATCTCATTTATAAAACTGCAATAAAGATAACCAGAACAAAACATTTTAATATAGAAAACACAATACTCTTTCAGAATTCAATACAGAATGCTTATATGTTTTTGGTTGATTTCTGCCTGAGAAGGATTACTTATTTAGGTGTAAACAGGGCAGAAAAATCAAGAGCTTCAGACAGTATCAGTTTTTGAAAGCAGGATGCAACCTTAATGATGCTGGATGGTCAGTGACCTGAGGACAGGCGAGCTGTGATGTCACCTGAGGGAATGTCCACATCAGGAAAGATGGAAGTGCAGGCCAATGCCAGAACTGTCGGGAACTCAGTGTTGTGAGACATCATCCAGGAAGCCCCCAACTCTGCAGTTAGATGTACTGGGAATACTTTTAAAGAGGCCAGAGTTGGAAAGGGAGTTGGAGGCAGCAGATTTGGGAAATTAGTGTTAATAGGTATAAGAGTTTCAGGTTGGAAGGATGAAAATGTTCTGGAGATGGATAGTGATGATGGTTGCACAGTGTGAATGTACTAAACAATGGTAATACCACTGAACTGCATCCTAAACAAATGGTTCATTTTTACACTGTGTACATCTTTCTACAGTAAGAGAGAGAAACGTGGTAAGATTTCTAGTAAGATCAATCCAGTGAGGAGGCTCATACTGCTTCCTTGACTATGATGCACAAATCAAAACTGAATTTCACAAGCGATGCTTTAAAGGAAACCATCAACTCCAACATGCTAGACTGTATGTTCCAATGGGCCTTATTATGCAATTATGGGCAAGTTTCCTAAAACTTGCCCATAAACTTTCCAGCATCTTCTTCCTAAAAGAGACTGAACTCATCACATAATTTAGTTCCTTACTTTTTCCTGCAGTGCACACAGATGATATAGTCAATATTATAATTATTGTTGTGGTAGTCCTTTATATTGATTTAGAGTTCTCAGTGATCCAGTGACCCAGCTCAGTGATTCAGCTCCTACCCCTTCCTTCGTTTGTCATAGATGGGACCAAAGTGAACACAGAAGTTCTGTGCATGGTCTTGGGAAGTGAGCAACAGGACCAAGAGCTGAAACCATGCCCAAGGCCACAGCACTCAGCAGCAGAGGTGAACCCAGCCCTGTTTTCAGGTCTCTGCCAGGTTTCCCACTCCAGCTCAGGCCCTCAGCAAGACTTTTACCTCGGGGAGAGTCTATACTGTATTTGCTTGTCAAACAGAAGATATTTCTTCTTGCACATGCAAAATATCCAAGTATATTTAAGAGAATTGCATCTGAAGTTAAACTATGAGGATAAGAAATTCAATCTCAGTGCTCCAACTAATTGATTATTCTTTTTAAAATGTCTCAAATGTTTTCCATATACAAAACAGTTAAAACTGTGAATAGCCCTAAATCCTGCACCTGTAATCTTGGCAGAGTTTCATTTTACAGGTTACAAATAATCCAAGAATAATATAATTACACAGTAACTATTGATTATTTAATTACTTGAAAGTACCTTATAATCACCAAGACATTAAAAGTATTACAAGATCTAAAAACTATGTTATGAGAGAGTGTGCATCAAGTTGTTTGGCAACTCATTCATTGATAGGAGATGGAATGAAAGTATTTTGAACTAAAACAATCAAAACACTTCAAGTCAAAGGTGTTGGTCTGTGTGTGGTGTGGCGTTAACAGAAAATCTCATGATCTTTTCATCTGATGTTAAAAGTATGTATCATCATGGGCTGGAGGTAAGAGCACTAGTCTAGCATGTGGGAGACCCTGGGTTTGAACTTTGGTACCACAAAAGAAAAAAATGTATAGATAGATAGATGGATAGATAGATCATTCCTTGAGGCAAAGAGAACCTGCCAAAAGCTTGTGGCTCTTAATTACAAGAGTGATATAAAATGTCCGTATGTCTACACCTTCAACACAGAGTTCCTCCAAG